AGCTACAATGATTAATTATGTCAATTTTTTGAATAGGTAAATACTAATAATAACTCAACCAAAAACCAATACTTCGGTAGTTAGTAGTACTAGTACTAGGTGGTAGGTTGGTAGTTACTTAGGTATTTATCATTTACAAGTATTCATCGGAATAAATGCCCGTCTCTAGATACCTAAGTATTAACAAAGAGTCTACCTTATTTACAGAAGATGCTGGAACTTGGAAGTGTCTTCCACTTTGTTCGATGCACAAGTTTGTACGACGCGACGTATTACGTTGTTTTTCACTCGCAATAATGTGTCTCTGTCACTTTTAATAATATCAAACGCGTTTATTATGCTTATTTTTAATTCGTCCGCGTTTCTAATCTCACTACCACTGACGAGCTGCAGATACATTTTCGCCACTTCTAATGTACCACATTAACATGTCTAAGTACTTGCGGTTACTATGCGTAAACTGCATTATTGAATATTGAACAACAAACAATAAAAAATGGCGCGTGCGATTGATCGGACACAACACTGAACGACACTGAGGGCCACACCCTTCCCGCGCGACAGCTATCGGTCAACTGGCGATCGAGAGAGAGAGAAGTGGGAAAGAGAGCGGGGCAACTAGCGAACGGGAGAGAGGGAGAAAGAGAGAGAGATTGCGATAACATGGGGACGGTGACGGCGCGCCATTGCTTCGCTCGGGCCGCAAGCGCAGCCCCACGTACGGTTTGCACAAAAACGTTTAACCAACTCCTTTATTTTTGTTAAAAATAAAAGTTGTTAAAATTGTTAATTTTTTTTTGCTAAACGTGTCAGTTTATTGATTCCCACCAACCTCATAAAATATTTAGAGCGAATTTATTAACACCTTATATATTTGCATTACCTAACTGACGGACTAATTAGATTTTTAATTTTCATACCCTGTCATCATCCCAATTCGAGACAAATATACTTAGATAAAAACTATGAACATAAGTTTACTAAAAAAAACTACTTAAAAATAAATCTTAATACAGTGAAACTTGGTTAAGTGGGACCTGGATAAGTGAGAAACCTCCATAACTGGAACTCATGCTGAGGTCCCAACACTTTGGCACTGAATTACCTCTGTTAGTGGGACGAGGTAAACCTCTATATCTGGGATTTGTTCTTTCGATTTATCATCATAGTTACCTCTATAACTAAGACAGCGAGTACATTTTATATGCATAAACCTCTGTATCTGAGATATCATTCTTTGTTTACTCATTCATAGTCTACCCACAAATTCCACATGTAATTCCAAGTCCACCTTTATTAATGGAACCCTCTGTAAATGAGACAGATAGTTATTTATACCTGTATATCTGAGACACTGGGTAAGTGGAATACCTCTATAAGTGATATGACTTTTGCAGGTCCCTTGATGTCTCACTTAACCAGGTTTCACTGTATTTAATTATTCCTTGTAATGGCCCTCAGGAATCGAAGCTAAGCAAGCTGCAGCGTCGTCTGACTTGCCCCAACGCGCCCGAGTCACATCGACTGCCGCAATTCAGTCAACAAGAAATGTTTTATAAGTAAGTTTTTTTTATTGTACAAGCCGGTAAACGAACAGACGGATCACCTGATGGTAAGCAATCGACGTCGCCCATGGACACCTCGAACACCAGAGGCGTTACAAGTGCGTTACCGATCAGGAATTTGAGGATTGTTGGATGGAGGGTGGGGATTCAGGGATTGGGGAATTGGGGGAGGGGTATTGTATTTGGGCCTCCAATAACCTCAGTCACACGACGAAACACAACGCAAGCGTTGCTTCACGTCGGTTCTCTACTCGGCCGTGGTATCACTCCGGTTTAAATGCTAATAATGCCTTAAAAGTTAAAAAAAAATCTTAAAGTTTAAGAAACACCTAAGTAAAGATAGGTGACACTTAACAACATTCAGTTACTACTAATTATACTTAACACAATAAGTAAGGGGTTAGTTGGTTAAACGAATACTAAGAGTAAAATACAATTTGTCGACACCCCTACTCTTCCCGCGGATTCGTATACCCGACTAAGGGACATAAGTAAGTCTTAAAACATTATCAACAGCGGGTGACAGTCCACTGCTGAACTATGAGCCTCCTCTACATAAGAGGGGTTTGTCATAATCTCCACCTTTGGCAGGCAGGTTGGAGGTCGCAGTATAAAAGGTCCAGGTTTATCAGAGAGCGCTGTTGCACGGTCTCTGGCAAATATGTAGTCCCTTAGTCGGGTATACTACACCCGCGGAAAGAGTAGCGGTGGTGACAAATGTGTTCTACTGTGACATCACTACATGTTATTTTTTAATATTTCATTTTGTTACAGGGATTTCATAATAAATGCTGAGAACGAATCGTTTCGCGTACATCTAAGGGACGCTATAGCTTCGGAGATATGTGTTCTAGATGGTACACATATAGCGTCCGATGAAAGAGGGAACTGTAAGTAGTTGAAAAATTTCATTTATTTATCTTATTTTGCCCCTGCTCGGCTCCTATTCATCGTAGCGTGATGTTTTATAGCCTATAGCCTTCCTCGATAAATGCGCTATCGAACACAAAAAGAATTATTCAATTCGAACCAGTAGTTCCGGAGATAAGCGCGTTCAAACAAACAAACAAACAGACAAATATGTGTCTGTCTGTATGTTCACGCGTCACACAAAAACTACCGGTCCGATTACGATGAAACTTGGTATGATTATACTTTAATACCCTGGGCATAGCACTGGGTACTATTTATTCCGAAAAAGTATAAACATTTTTAGTAAAAGTATATATATGTCGGAGAAAATTGGGGCCATTAAAACCCATTGGGGGTACTTCGGAAAACGCGGTAAGTTCGGTACGAGCTGGCAGAACAACCGCTCACCCTCGTGTCCAACTCAAAAGTGACGCCTGTCAAATGTCAACATGCCACGCCCCGTACCGACCTCACCCAAGCACACTGCTTGACGTTTCCGACAAAAGATAACAGATGGCGTTGTTCTAAAATAACGATACTCGATAGTTGTGCATCTTTGTTGATTCTGCGACATATATTTTAAGTGTGGAAGAGCCATGCTTCGGCACGAATGGCTCGGCTCGACCGGAGTTGCGTTGTGTTTCGTCGTGTGAGTGAGGTTACCGGAGGCCCAATTACCCTCCCTTCCCCAATCTCCCCAATCCCTGAATCCCTAACGATCCTCAAACTCCTAATCCCCAAAAGGCCGGTAACGCACTTGTAACGCCACTGGTGTTCCAGGTGTCCATGGGCGACGCCGATTGCTTACCATCAGGTGATCCGTCTGTTCGTTTACCGGCTTATGTATGCCATAATATGTACACGGAAAAACAAACTTAATTGTGCGGCTCGATGCCTAGACACAGTTCTGTACCAAACGCAAATATAAGTTTGTCGAATGTTAGGTTGCTTGCAATCTTGCTGTGCAATGTCAGCTTCTATCATGGCTTGAAACTAGTCGAGTTCCTCGCCAAACAGTTACGTGAATAAGTCGAAAACATAATATATTTTTTTATGTTGAACTATCTTCTGTCAATGACTCCGCGCACGTTCCCGGGGGTAAAACATAGCCTATATTATTACTTCAGACCATACTCAAACCCTGTTCCAAATATTGTCCCGTCCCGTAGAATGTCTTGCGAAAGTTATAATATAAACATTAAACATTGTCCAAATCGAACCACTAGTTCTGGAGATTAGCGAGTTAGAAAGCGAGTGAAACCGGCGGGACAAACGTAATCAATTACAAAATTAAACTAAAATTATTTTGTTTTATTTCTTTTTTCAGCAAACTTCGATGTAACAAAGGAATACCTAGCTCTCTCAAAAAAACTAGGTCTCCTAGCGAAGTTCCTAGGTCTATTAGCGTCCTTACCTTATACCCAGCTCACGATAGACGCTACTAATAAGAATACAGTCACAAAGGTGATCAGCAGAGAAGTAAATTATGCGACCCCTAAAGAAAAGGTTTTGGCGAACGATTTAGCTTTGAGAAATTATGTAAGTATTTATCATTTTGGTATTTTTTTGAGCTGGTAATACTTTTGTGGTAGTTTTTTTGGTGTTGGCAACACTGATGTTTTTGTAATTGGTCTCTTATATTGAATGTTTTACTTATGTATAATATTTTAGGCTTTTGTGTTTGATTCCCGAGTAAGGACTTGTGTGTTGAAAAGTGGGTGAAGTTTTGAAAACAGTTATGATTTGGAAATCGAATGAAGTCTTAAACGATTTTGTATATCGAAATTGTTTTAAAAGAATAGCTTTTTAATGTTTGTTTGTATCAACTGATTACCTAATGTAATTTTATCGATAAACTCGACTTGATAGTTTCGGGTTCGATGTCAAGACCGTCAAAGTGTTAAAGACTCTCGATTATAATCTTTTTTCAATAAAACTTATTTCATAATCATCTGAAATAAAAATACTATAATACTTCTAGCTACCTCCATCTAAAATGATGCACCTGTAACTAATATATATACTCTCTTCTTTACAGAGTCAACCAGCCATAGACTTACTAGGTATATTAAAAAACGCACTCGAAAACGGTCGATTATCGATATCCTTACCGTGGATTGTACACTATTTATCGATGCTAGACTACACATCATTAAGAATAACATACTACCAAAATCTACTAAAAATCCTCTTCGACATACACACGAATCGACTAAAAATACACAACACTACATTAAAAAAGAACACTATAATATATTTAAAATCGATTCTCGGATGGTTATTCGACTTACCGCATTTCCCTCAAGAATTGTTCTATGAAAATCGACTAAATGTTAGTGCGGGGAACGATTTGCATATCGATACTTGTGATTTAGTCGACGAATCGGTCATAATAGAGTTGTGCCCTCATTTGAGAGATTTGAACGTGTTGCTATCGACATGTAGAGTGTCGCAGGACCAGAAGGATATGGCCAGTTATCGACATATTACTCCGGTCAGCTTAACCTTAAATCCCGAGGATCGGATGAAGAACAAGGAGAAGGAGTTGCAGGTACGTCCTCTTTTTTACATTTTTTTTTTTAGTATACTTGATTACCTTGTCTGTCCGAATTTTTTATTGATGCATTGATAAGTTAATACTGGATTGACAGATTGATAAATGGACGTAAAGATTGATAAATCTGTACATAGATTGATAAAATCAGCGAATACAAGTTTTTTTAATTGGAAAATAATATGAGTTGAGATTGAATGATGGCCAGATTGACAGTGATGAATTGATTGATAGATTGAAAGAATCGTATCGGTTGATAATATGATTGATAGATTGATGCAGTTGTGTCCTCGTTTGAGCGTGTGGTTATTGACATGTAAAGTATCGTAAATATATTACTCTGGTTAGCTTAAGTTTAAATCCTGAGGTTCGGATATAGAATAAGGAGAATGAATCTGCATGTAAGTTAATTTTTTCTGATACAAGTATTGTTGGATTTTTAAAGGATTTGTAGATTGATTAATGGATTCATAGATTATAAAAAAAGCTGATTGAAGAATTAGTGAATTGATTGATTGAAAATGGAATAATTGATTGATTGATGGAGTTTTTCTCTTGATTCCTCTTAATTTTCAAGTCGAATCAAAATGTAATAAAAACAATATTTACATTTCAGGCGCGTCTAGAAGAAGAATTACTGAAGAGCCAGCCGTCTTCCACTCGCCGGGTGCTCGAGTTGGTAATCGAACGAGTGACCTCGGCATGTGTGAGGGAGCTCTCTGCTCATACTCTGACAGAGGTGCGAGAGAGGGCCGGCAGAGCTGTAGCTAAGATGGTCGCTAGTTATCAGGGGGATCAGGTGAGTTTAGGTATTAATTTTTAAGGGATAAGGTGGTTTCTTGAATGTATATAATTTTCGTCTGCCTCATTGGCCGAGTGGTCATAAGTACGACTGCCGTGCAAAGGGCCTCTGGTTCGATTCCTGGGTCGGGTAAAGTATTACTTACAGGGTTTAAAAAATCTCAATAGTAGCACGGAGTCCGGAATTGTGTCCGGTATATGGCAATAGGCTCACCCCCTATTTATTACATGGGACTCATGACATAAATAGTGACAAGTGGGTATTACTCAATACTCAATACGTTTATTGCACTCCATATCAGGGACTGAAAGCGGTTAAGGTATAACGGTACGGTACCGGTATAAAATAAGTGTACCGAAATTAAAGCTATACCGGTATTTATCTTTATGCGATAACGGTACCGAAAAACTTAGATTTGACCGTTGCGGGACGTAAAGCTAGGAGTGTGCGGGGTGTGGTGCGAGGGGCCCCACGCCTCGGAGTGGAGCAGCGGCAAGCAAAAAACGCGCGCCTGTGTACCTGTTTATTCGTGCCACTGCTGCAACTAAACTACGCTACCGTTGTATGATTTGTGTGTACCGTACCTATCTAATAACTATATAATAGTCGTGTAACTATTAACTATGAGGCGGAAACGTAAAAATGCAGTATATGGATTGAGATAT